ACCCGGGTTCAATTCTCGGTATCCACATGATGACTAATAACCATTCACAACTGTAATTCCAGGGTGTCTGATACTGTGTTCTGACTTCTGCAGGGCATTGGACACAGGTGGTGCACTTACACACATGTAGGCAATACACTCGTACACACAATATAAAAATAATAAATAATAAAAAAACACTGTCTAAGACCAACTTGGAGAGGAAAGGGTATCTGGCTTATAACTCACAGTCCATCATCAATGGGAAGCCAAGGCAGAAACTCAGGCCAGGAACCTGGAGTATAGATCATGGAGGTATACTGCTTGCTGTCTTGCTCCCCTGGCCCCTGCTCAGCCTGCTTTCTTATAGGACATAGGCCCACCTGCCCAGGGGTGGCACCACTCACAGTGGCCTGGGCCCTCCCACATCACTCAACAATCAAAAAAATATCCCACAGACATGGCCACAGGCCAGTCTAATGGAGGCATTGTCCCAATTGAGGCAGTTTCTACCCAGGTTTGTCAAGTTGACAACTAAAGCTAACCAGCACAACATTAATACTGTAGTATATTGAGTTGATGTTTTCTGTACTTTTTAATCTGTATATTTACATGGACATTTACATGTCATAGTTAAATTCATGAATTTCATTATGTTACACATAGGTATTGCTCCTTGGAGATACAATGTTATCTGTTAAGTCTTAGTTCTTATGTTACGTTGGTGATCTTGGTATGTCTGCTTTTGAAACCTAGAATACTTGTACCAGTGTATATACAAAAGATAGAGCTGCCAAGTGTAAAGTTCCAGCCCTAGATCTTCTGATTAAGGTAATTTTATATTTCTAAGTAATGTATTTATGTTATATATATAACATAAAATTGGAAACTGGAGTTTGGAGTTTTGTTTGAGTCGGGTTTGAGGGAGGAAAGAGTTGTGATTATGCACATTTTATAACTACCTGGTGGTACAGTGGTATGTTATTCTCGTACTTTTCTAGGTTATAAGAATTTGGAGTTGTAAGAGAAAAATCAAGAATTGACTGCTTTTCCACTTGTCATCCTTACCTTTAAAATCTACTGCTAGTGGGAGTTGCCCAAAGTACTCCTTTGTGAGGTTTCTTGAAGCCTCATTCATGGGAGTGGGACTGCTGTATTGCCCTGGTCCTTGGGTCACTTGTCTGTCTCATTTTGCACCTCTGTTTTAGAATTCCTTTGGACCTAGTTGGTCTGTAATCTTGAGTGCCTCTGACGAAGTGGTTCTCTAGTCATGTTATTGGTCTCTGAGGAAGGCAAAATTAAGCCTAGATTACCTTTCCCTCGTGATCTACCACTCACCAGATACCTGGGTAGACATGAGTTCTGAGAGACCCTGCATAAGTGTGCTAGACACCCAGGACTCTGAAGTTTTGCCGTTCAGGGCACACTGTAGTAGAGAAAGCCTTTTCTGTTATTTGCCTTCTTAGAAAATGCAGTTTCTGTTCTTTAGTTACTTAAGGTACTGAGAAGTTCTAGACTCATGGATGAATTTAAGATTGGAGAATTATTTAACAAATTTTATGGAGAACTTGCATCAAAAACAAAAATACCCGATACAGGTAAGATATGGTTTTTCAACAACTAAAGGAAATTTAATTTACATTT